ATAAGCAAGCTTCCAGAGTTCTCTTCCTTTTCTTATTCCTTCATGCATGAGAGACCAAGCCAAAGGTGAGTTTTCTGGTTAGTTAATTTCTTGTTGAATTTAAGGTTGGTTTATGATCATTAGATGATAATTAAGCTTAAGGAAAGCTTAAGTTATCTTAAAATCAAAAGATAATGGAGTTAGGAGAGATTAAAGATTATGAGTTTTTGAATGAAATCTTGAAATAGAGTTCATAATTAGAATTGGAAGTTGGATTTGACTTATCATCATTCTAATTAAAAAATATGAAGTGTTAGAATTAAATTTAAATCATGTTGAAATTTGAGCATGATTCTTGAATGCTATGTGGAGGATTAGATTTTGAAGTTAAAGAGGTATTGAATGAGTATTAATTAGTTTAAGTAGGTGTATGTAAGTTAAGGATATGAAAGAGGTTGAAATATGACACAATTGAGCTAGAATGAAGTGATTTTCGTGCTCAAAATGTGATTTCTGAAATAGGGGTATCGGTACCCATTCAATAGGTACCGATACCTCAAGAGTAAAATTCAGGAAGATATTCAAAGGGTACCGATACCTTAAGGAGTGTATCGATACCCCCTTGAAATGAGAAATTTTGAATGTAATTTGGGTATCGATACACAGGCAGTGTACCGATACCTCAGTTGAGGGATGTATCGATACCCTATAAAGTGTATCGATACCTATGTTAAACAAGAAATGAAATTAGTCTTTCTTTTAGTCTTAGAAATGAAAGATTAAAGTATATCAATTAGAATACTGATATGGATCCATGTATGATTATGTAGATAATGAACATAATCCTGTTCCGGAACAATCGAAGAATTAGAAACAGTCGAGAGAGAGAAAGTGGTAGAATCAAGAAAGGCTAAGGTGAATGCATACCCTAGATAGAATTGTATGGAGATAAGACTTGCGATAATTATCTCTTATAGTGAATTTATGATTTTTTTATTCATGTACATGCATATATATATATATATTACTATTATAGTAATTTCATGCATAATTCATCACTGCTTTAATATGATATTATTATATGAATGAATGACATTATAAGAAAATCTATCGAGGTATGTAAAATAATGGAAGTGATCATATCTGTACATGTGAAGTGAATTATGTGTTTATATGAAAAGTGATAAAAGATATATGAAAATGTGAAATGTATTCATATTTAAGCCCATGTTATTTAATATGAGAGCTGTAGGTATAATTGGCATGCCAAGAGTCGAGGGATTATAGTGGTCCTTCGGGACATAGTGGTTCTTTAGGACAAATATTCAGTGCCTCTAATGGGAATTTATTCGAGCTGTGGTGATAGCATTCGTTCATAACCACAGTGAACTCATGTACCTTTTGTTCTCAATAATGTACATGGGCATTCAAAGATAATTTGAATGAAAATTATTATAAGAAATTACAGTTCACTTGTGCTTATCATAATTACATATGTCATAGTTTATTTAATACATGTACATTGCAATGTCATTATAGATTGATATTAGTGCATGTTCATGAATCTATTGTTATATGTTCGTTTCATGCATCATTAAGTCTGTGACTTATCATGTAAGTGATTTACATGTAGGTACCAAGAAACAAGAAGATCAGAAATAGGAGTGGCAAGGACAACATCACTACTAGAAGATCAGATCAGAAGTAATTGGCAAAGTATGTGTTTTGTTGTATTTAGTGTGTTAGCATGTAAACAATTTGTTAATTAGGAATGCTCTGATCAATTTTGTATTGTTTTGGTCAAACTTTTGTAAGTCAACAACTTTTATTGTAATGAAAGTTCAAAATTTCCTTGATTTTCTTTAAGAGTCAAAGTTTGAAAAGTCAATGTGACACCTCGGACTCGTATCCGGGTCGGGTACGGGTTGGGGTGTTATATTGTTGAATCAAGTTTTATAATATTTTGATATAACAAATTATGACAAAATGTTTTTGGACTTAATTGAATTTGTTCAAAGTTTTCAAAAGATTTCAAAAATAATTCAAAGTCCATTAACCTTGAATTTGAGCACAAAAACAAATTTTCTCGTACATAGTACTGATACTGGTCTTAAAGTATCGATACTATATGAGCAGTACCGATATTATTCATGTGGTACCGATACCAAAGGTAAGAGAAATATCGATACTTTCTAGGTAGTATCGATATTACCAGCTTGCTCAAATTCCAGAATACAAAAATAGGTACCGATACCCAAAGGGGTACCGATACTACTTTACATAGTAATATTGATATCATAATCACAGTATCGATAACATCAGGCCCAACGGCTAGTAACGACTAGTTTTATTTAAATATTACAAAGGTAGTATAGATACTCTCTGTAGGAGTATCAACACCCTCTATTCTGGGCAGCTTTATTTTGCAGAGAAAACATCCCCAAACGGCTAGAAATCATCCCTAACAACTAGAAATGGCCATAACCTCATTCCTACTTATAAATACAAGTTCAAGACACTTGAAGAAGGGTTAGAACATCTATCCAAGAAATCAAACATAAGAGAAGAGTTTTTCATTCCTATTTTACTTTCTCTAGTAAATATTTTGTTCTTGTGAGCTTCAATTTGTAAACACCTACCTTTTTAAGGGTTTTCTTGTTTACTCATTTTATTCCTTTTGTAAAGGGGTTTTGGTTCTATATTAGCCAAGTGAAAAGATAGGGAGTTGTAAAGGTTACTCTTGATCCTTGAAAAAGAACGAACAAATTAGTGGATTTGTTGGAAAATCCTAAGTGGGGAGCTTAGGTAATAGATGTAGACTTTGGTTGAGAAAGTTGAACCACTATAAATCCTTGTGCAACAATTTTCTATTCCCTTAAATCTCCTTACTCCCTAAAATTATCAAAAATTCAATTCACCCTCTCTTGAGAATTTTTTTTGTTATCCAATTGAGCTTCACAAATCCCAACACGTTTTTACATGGTGATTTGAAAGAACAAGTGTTTGGTGATCAACCACATGGATATATGAAACTTGGAAATGAGAACAAAGTGTACATATTAAAAAAAGGCGTTGTATGGATTGAAACAAGCTCCGAGGGCTTGGTATAGTCGTATCGAAACTTATTTTCTAAAAGAAGGTTTCTAAAACATCCATAGGAGCATACGCTGTTTACCAAGGTTGGTGAAAGAGGTAAGATTATTATTGTTTGCCTCTATGTTGACGATCTTATATTTACTGGGAATGACGTTGCCATATTTAATGAAAGAATTCCATGATGGTTGAGTTCGATATGACTGATCTTGGCATGCTACATTAGTTTTTGGGTATTAAAGTATTTCAATCTGATGCTGGAATTTTCATTTCTCAAAAAAAAAAAGGTCCAATAGATGTTGGACAGGTTTAAGATGAAGAACTGCAATTTTGTTCGCACACCAACTGAAGTTGGTTTAAAGCTTGTTTGAGACCCTGGAGGAAAGGAAATTAAAAGAACCACTTACAAGCAAATAGTGGGAAGCTTGATGTATTTGACTATAACAAGACCATATATTATGCATGTTGTAAGTCTCATTAGCAGGTTTATGGAGTGCCCAAAGGAGATGCACCTCTTAGCTACAAAAAGAATACTTCGGTATTTGAAAGGCACTACTAGTTACATATTGGTTTACAGAGAAGTGAAAAGACAATTTTATTTGGCTTCATAGACAGTGATTATGCTGGTGATCTTGATGATAGAAAGAGCACTTCGAGTTATGCTTTTATGCTGGGTACAAGGGTTATTTCATGGTCCTCAAAGAAGCAACCTATAGTCACTTTATCTACTACTGAAGCTGAATTTGTAGCTGCTACAGCTTGTGCCTCTCAAGTCATTTGGTAAGAAATATTCTTGAACAACTACACTTTCTACAGCAAGGAGCAACAACAATTTTTTGTGAAAATAATTCAACAATTAAACTTTCTAAAAACCCAGTGTTACATGGAAGAAGCAAGCATATAGATGTCAAATTTCATTATTTGAGATACCTCAAAAATAATGGAGTCATTGATCTAGTTTTCTGTAGAAGTGAAGACCAAGTTGTTGATATCTTCACCAAATCTCTAAAGAGAGCTACATTTCAGAAGAAGAGGAAATTGCTTGGAATTTGTGCTTTAGAAGATCTACATGTTTTATTTTTCCTTTTAAATCAATATTTACAAAATATTTGGTTTAAGGGAGGATTTGTTGAGATTAACGTCTCATTTGTGGAGTTTAGGGATTGTGTTGTTAGTGATATTAGTTTATTTCACTTTTTAATTATTTATGCTTCTATTTTTAACACATTCTTGTTTTTTCCTTGCTTATTTAAAGCCTTGTTTGATGAATAAAATTGTGCAGCAGTTCACAAAATCTTTGAGTTCATTGTTTTCTATCACGACTGTTAGTTTCTTTTCATTTTAACAGTTTCTTTTCATTTTAACAGTTTCTTTTCTATCATGGCTATTAGTTTATTTTCATTTTAACAGTATTGAGTAAGAAAGGGCCATGTGAGGGTGGGAGACCACCAGCTGGCTATTTATGTTTTCTGGGAATTTTTCTTCAATTTGTTAACTTCATGAGTTATCTTTGTTTTTTTTATCGGTGAAGACGAAATATATACATATTTAGTGTTCAATTTCATGCAGTTTATAAGCTGCTGGGAAGTAATTTTTGGAACATGGTCTTCTCAAATTAAAACCATGGGAAAAAGTACCATATTTATACAGTATTAATGTACTCACATGCAAAAATTTAGTAAGAACATTAATGAATCCAAAGTTTTTTTTCCCATAGATCGTAAATGATTCCAAAAATGACGTGGCTTATGTGCCATTCCTTTTTTCCTTCCATATTCTGTGCACAATCATGAAGTTTTCAGCATCAGATTACGTGGTTTTAGGAGCACTTATTTTATCACATATTATTGTCTTTTTTGGGTTATATATTTTTTTGACTTTTGACTTTTGACTTTTACTTTTGCTTTTGGGTTACAGATAACAAAAACCCAGAAAAAATGGAAACTGAGATTTGCTGTAAGGAAAGGAAAAGGGTAAAAAGGGAAGGAGTGTTTCGAAAGTTCTTTTTACATGACGATTTAGTAGTGAGGGCTAAGGAAAATGATAGTAGTTGTTGTCACTTCACTTAAACTTACTGCTTTCTTTCTATTCTTCTATGCCCATGTCATCCCACGGCATCTAATTCCCTCAACTATCCTTCCCTATTTTACAGGGCCCTTTGTTGTTTTCTTTATTTTTCTTACATTTCCCAACAACAGCAACCCATTGTCTGGAACACACTGCTCTTTTCTTTTGTTCTTGCATCACTTTCTTTGTTCTGAAACTTCTATATTTTCAGACAACAAGAACAGTCTTTATAAGGAAGAAAATAAAATAAATATTTCATCTTTTTCAACTCTTACACTTTCTCTTTATTGGGATTTTCTTCCTTCTTTTCTTTCCTTTTTTTAGCTGCTTCCTATGGAAACTACTGGAGCTTCTGAGGATTGTTGTGTGAAGGTTGCGGTTCATGTAAGGCCGCTTATCGGTGACGAGAAGCTTCAAGGTTGTAAAGATTGTGTTACTGTCATCCAAGGGAAGCCTCAGGTATTTTCACTTTAGAGAATGCAGGTATTTAATGTTGAGTGCTTTCCAATGGATGATTTGTTGGGACTGCCTGAGTATGGATTTGTTGGTTGATTTTTTTTGGTATTTGGAGATCTGGATCTTTTGGATGCTTGAATGGTTGACCAATGAGAATTCACTATCTGGTTTTGGATTAGAATTTTTGTCATCATTTACTGTTTCTATTACGTGGATACCTGGGAATTGAAGTTTTATTTACCATGGAAGCTAAGCTGAATTCACTTACTTTATGTGATGCTTCTTGTAGATTGCTATTTCCATTTTAAGTATGTTCTTTTCTTTTGTGGATTCTTAGGTTGAATTAGTTGAGACTAGATTTTATTTGGTCTTAGGGAGAAACCGATTTAGAAACCGAAAAGAGCTTTTACTACTTGGTAAGGCCTTGAGATAGTTTGTTTCAATCAGATATGAACATATTGAATTCTTCTAAAGCCTGGATTTTTATAAATTCTAAATTTTCATTTCCTTCTTCTGAATTGATATGTAGATTCTTTGTTTGGTTATGAGGTTACATGGATCTTTTCACCGTGCTGCAGGTACAGATTGGGACGCATTCCTTTACGTTTGATCATGTCTATGGGAGCACCGGTTCTCCTTCTACTTCGATGTTTGAGGAATGCATCGTTCCACTTGTCGATGGCTTATTCCAAGGATATAATGCTACCGTTCTTGCTTATGGTCAGGTACTGTCGAATCTCCCACGAGACACCACTGAATATCTATTTTCGTTTTCCTTCTGATTGAAGTTCGTAAATTTTGCAGACTGGATCAGGTAAAACGTATACTATGGGCACAAGCTTGAAAGACAGTTGCCAAACCGGAATAATTCCTCTAGTAATGAATGCTTTGTTCAGCAAGATCGAAAGCCTGAAACATCAAATTGAATTTCAATTGCATGTGTCCTTCATTGAGGTTTGTTAAAGAACCAATCATTTCCAGTTATGCTATTAAATTTTGCACTTAATTTTATGAATGCATGTACCATTTGGCCTGTTGTTGTAGAAGCTGTTCCCTTAGGCTATCGAATATCCGGTTTATGAATATATCTTCTGGTTCGCACCTGACATGAGTGTTTCTTCCTACTTTATAGTCCTGACATGCATAATTTCATCTCATTTTGATATGAAGATTCTGAAAGAAGAAGTGCGAGATTTGTTGGATCCTATTTCTTTGAACAAATCAGATACTGCAAATGGAAATGCTGGAAGCGTAAATGTTCCTGGAAAACCCCCGATACAGATTCGTGAATCATCAAACGGTGTTATTACACTGGTAGGATCTACCGAAGTTGGTGTCAGTACATTAAAAGAAATGGCTGCGTGCCTAGAACAGGGGTCATTGAGTAGGGCTACAGGGAGCACAAACATGAACAACCAGTCTAGGTTAGTTATTTATACCGACATTTCTGGTATTATATGACACTGTAATTATTTGCTATAATTACAATTTTTTGCTTTCTGATATGTGTTGTATAGTCGCTCGCATGCAATCTTCACCATCACCTTAGAGCAAATGCATAAAGCAAACCCTATTTCCGGAGATGGAAGTCCTAATGACATCATGAATGAAGAATATCTTTGTGCCAAGTTACATTTAGTAGATCTTGCTGGATCAGAGCGTGCAAAAAGAACAGGCTGCGACGGGATGCATTTTAAAGAAGGTTGGATATCATTTACTTTTGTTTCATGAAAGCATTGTTCTCCGCTCGAACATAATAATTGCCATATTCATCATTTAAACAGGAGTTCATATCAACAAGGGCCTACTTGCCCTTGGTAATGTCATCAGTGCACTTGGTGATGAGAAAAAACGAAAAGAAGGTGTTCATGTTCCATATCGAGATAGTAAACTTACACGGCTTTTGCAGGTATGACTGGTTTAAGAGGCCTGTTGGGAAGATTATATATTATAAATCATCCTTTTTCAAATGTCATTATCTTTATTGTCTCTAGATTTGTTAAGTGATAAAAACATGACCATTTCTTTCGGCAGGATTCGCTTGGTGGCAACAGTAGAACTGTCATGATAGGTAATGTCATTTCTTCTTAACAATTTAGCTTTCTCAGCTGTTTCAATTTTTAGCTTGATATATTCTCACATCCTAAACCCCGCTTTGCTCGTTAATTGTTGATTTTGAATTTGTTTCGATCATTTCCTTTTGAGCAGCATGCATTAGTCCTGCTGACATCAATGCAGCGGAAACCCTGAATACTCTAAAGTATGCAAATCGAGCTCGCAATATCCAAAACAAGCCTGTTGTAAGTTCGAGAGAATAATTTTCCTTGAACGTTTCCTCTCTCCATTCCCAACTGTGTTGTCAGATATAGGCAAAATTCAATACTGTTTATATACATAAGTTCATTCTTGTTCCGACTTTATATAGGTTAACCGAGATCCTATGTCCAATGAGATGCTAAAGATGCGTCAACAATTAGAGTATCTACAAGCAGAACTTTGTGCTCGCAGGTGTTCTGATGAAGTACAGGTATTGTGGTACTCTTAATCACTTAAATGAAATTCATAATTGATTTTTAATCTTTTCGAGGGACAATTATACTGAGATCTTAAGGTAGTAACACTTGTTATATATGTCTCAAGTACTCGGTTGCTTTCCTTAACTAACTCATTTATTCCTAGACATTTTATTTGAGATAACTTATATAGGATTTAATTTGTAGGTTCTCAAAGAAAGGATTGCTTGGCTTGAAGCTGCTAATGAGGATCTGTGCCGAGAACTTCATGAGTGCCGTAGCAGACGCTCCATTGTCGAGCAATGTGAACCGGATGCTCAAGTATGTTTAGGAAACCCTTACTGTGTTCACTGAACTTTGAAATTTTATTGGCCGATTTACATATAAGTTTTTATCATGGATATTAATGTATCAAACGGATATGAATGCAAAGCTCTTATTATTTCAGAATGGCAGCCCCTGTTCTGTCAAAAGTGACGGGATCAAAAGGAACTTGCAAAGTATAGAATCACCAGATTATCAAATGGTTGAAACCATGATGGGTACCTACTTACCTGATCTATGAAAGATGCATGCCATTCTTTCTTTATTAGTAATACCAGTGTGACTGGGTCATTATATCTGTGTTCTTTATTAGTAATATTAGCTCAAGCGGTTCTTTATGTCTGTGCTGTATTCATATTTTTCTCAAGGCGTTTTCTCAGCTTGAATATGATGATCGGTTTAGCAGGTGATTCCGGAGAAATTGATGAAGAAACTGCTAAAGAGTGGGAGCACATACTTCTACAAAATACCATGGACAAAGAGTTGCACGAGTTAAATAGACATTTAGAGGAGAAAGAGGTAAAATTTTCATGCCTTCAACACTTTGCAATATTGTTCATTAGTTGAGATTCAGAGGCTGTTTTCATAATGATCTTTATCCTTGATAATTAAATTGTATGTCCATCGGCGCTCTTCCAAAGCTAGCTAATTCAAATATTTAATATGTATGCTCATCTTTTATGTACGGGCAGTCCGAGATGAAACTTTTTGGAGGCCACACGGTTGCACTCAAGCAGCATTTTGGGAAGAAAATTCAGGAATTAGAGGAAGAGAAAAGAGCTGTGCAGGTCTAAAAACCTTTTTAAAAATCATGATTTTGCTCAAGGAAAAGTTGTGCCTGTTGACATTTGTTAACTTTTTTTTCATTGCAGCAAGAGAGGGATCGGTTATTGGCCGAAATCGAAAATCTTTCTTCTGGTTCTGATGGACAAACACAAAACGTGCATGACATTCATGCTCAGACACTAAAATCCCTTGAAGCACAGGTGACAGAAAGTTTTAGTTGAAATTGCATTTGTTTTTAGATCGAAGAAAATGGCTAATGAGTTGATGATTTCGTTTAATTTGTAAAACTTTTTTTTGCACTAGATTATGGATCTTAAGAAGAAACAAGAGAATCAAGTTCAACTTTTAAAGCAGAAACAGAAGAGCGATGAAGCAGCGAAACGACTACAAGATGAAATTCAATTTATTAAGGCACAAAAGGTTGACTCTTATTTTCAATTTGTATAGCATTTATATTTTTATTATCAATGCCATTGCATTCTCTGCTAAACCTTCCCACTTCAACTCCCCCTTCCCCTATTCTTTTCTTCCCTTGCCTACTCTGTGATTGTAGGTTCAGTTGCAACATCGGATAAAACAAGAGGCGGAACAATTCCGTCAGTGGAAAGCCTCTCAAGAAAAGGAACTGTTGCAGGTCCTTGCTTCTTTTCTTTCTAGTATCTGTCAAATTAAGCATTTTATAATAGCATTTCATGTTTTTAACTATTACGCTCTTGTATTAGTTTGTGATATTGCATGAGAAATAAATATAATATTATGCATGCACAACCAGTTACGGAAAGAGGGACGGAGAAATGAGTACGAAAGGCATAAGCTGCAAGCTTTAAACCAACGCCAGAAACTGGTAATCAGATTTTTCTTTCTCATAGGAGATGAGTGTTTACGACTGCTTTGTTTTTTAGGGAAATAATTTGCAGTTATTCTTGCTTGCAGGTTCTCCAAAGAAAAACCGAAGAGGCTGCCATGGTCACCAAGAGGCTAAAAGAGTTGCTTGAAGTTCGTAAATCTTCTGCTCGTGATAGCTCAGGTATGCTTTTTTCTTTTTAAGGTTACCTTTGTTGGAGATCCATGTCTTCATATTCATGCCTGGGACCTTATGTTTGCCCAATTTTTTTAATGTTTTGGTATCTTTCAGCTCCTGCCAACGGGAATGCAACAAGCGGGCAGGTAATATCCGTCTTTTCTGATCTTTTTCAGGTTGATTTCTTTATCCGCATGTTATAAACCAATTAACATAAAGTTCCTTATGTAGACCAATGAGAAAGCATTACAACGATGGCTAGATCATGAGTTAGAAGTCATGGTGAATGTGCATGAAGTTCGCTTCGAATACGAGAAGCAAAGCCAAGTGTACGTAACAAAATCGCTTTAGCATAATAAAACTGATGCTGACTAATATAAACTATTCTGATATCCCTTTAACTTATTTTGAGAATTCTCCAGGAGAGCTGCATTGGCTGAAGAGTTGGCTGTCTTGAAGCAAGTAGATGATTTAGCTTCAAAGGGGCTGAGCCCTTCAAGAGGAATTAATGGATTTGTTAGGTAACATTTTTGGGAAAGCATTGTACTTTATTATTGGCAGTAGATATGTCACGTTTTCCTCTGTGGAAGTGCTCCAACCTAACACACGATGAATTTTACTTTCTATAGGGCATCCTCCTCACCAAATGCAAGAGTGGCTCGAATATCGTCACTTGAGAATATGCTTAGCATATCTTCTAATTCACTTGTAGCAATGGCTTCACAACTTTCAGAGGCAGAAGAGCGAGAGCGTGCTTTCACTAGCCGTGGACGTTGGAATCAGTTGCGCTCCATGGGAGATGCAAAGAACCTGCTTCAGTATATGTTCAGTTCTCTTGGAGATTCTAGGTGTTTTCTCTCTCCTAGTGATACATGTACATGAGTCAAATGTAACACCCTAATGCAGGAGCTTGAAAAGAAAAAATAATAACGAATAAATAATGGTTCAGAAGTTTATGCTTATATGTTATCTACAGGTGCCAATTATGGGAAAAAGAGATGGAAAATAGGGAAATGAAAGAGCAACTTAAAGAACTTGTAGGCCTGTTGCGGCAGAGTGAGTTACAAAGAAAAGAAGTGGAGAATGAGCTAAAATTACGAGAACAAGCTGTTGCGATTGCATTGGCTACATCGGTTACGGTTAGTTTTTATGCATAACTTTATTTGGGGTTTAGGATTGTAGCCACTGTTCATTGTCTGTATCAAAATCATTTTCACTTCTATCACCAGTTCTGATAATAGTTCTATGATCAGGGGAACTCACCAAATTCATTGAAACATGTAGCTGACGACATGAATGGTTCATTATCTCCAATGTCTGTGCCAGCACAGAAACAGTTGAAATATAGCCCAGGCATTGTTAATGGTCCAACCAGAGAGTCAGCAGCATTCATAGACCAAACACGGATGGTAACTTCATTCCCAAGCTTTAATCATAGTGTTAAAATCTGCTTTCATGCTTGGCTAAGAAAAGTTCGATTTGTTGATCGTGTAGATGGTACATCTCGGGCAATTACCAAGGAAAAAGTTAGTAGTTATTGGGCAAGCAGGAAATGGAAAACTGTGGAGATGGAAAAGAAGCCATCATCAATGGCTTGTACAATTCAAATGGAAATGGCAGAAGCCATGGAGACTTTCGGAATGGATTAGACACAGCGACGAAACAATAATAAGGACAAGGTCGCGATCACAAGCTCTGCCTCATAGGGTCTGATATTTGATGGCACCAGATTATGTTGGCTAATATTAATCATCTTTGATTGTCTGTATATGCCTAGCCCAAGGTGTGCAGTCAAGCCTAGAAAAGACCGCGGGTAATTTTTTCCGCCTCCGTATTCCATGCCTACATCAGCTGCAATTACTATGTCTTCTGTTTATTAACATGAAAATTTTGTTAAACTGTACTTCAAAGAATAATGATCCTTATGTTATCCTCTTCATAGTTGATGCAGTGTGCTGGAACTGGCTGTTAGAACCTCCGTATGCGATATTGGTTTAGTTTGATATTAAAAATATAAAAAAGTATAGGTCTTTAATCTTCAAATATTTTGCTGTGATTACTGCATTGGAGAGCATCTTGTAACAAACTGTCGATGCCGCCGATGGTGCACCAAATACGTTGAAGATGTTAGCACGAGATGGTTTCTGTGTCGATGCTGTCGCAAAAAGTATGTCTAGATCGCGCTCGATCTGTCTCCCAAGGTTTTGGTGTACTTTCTATCAATAACACATTTCAGGGAAGAAATTGTTCCCCAGAATGTATGTCTAGTTATATTTTTCCTGTTTCATTTTTCTTTTTTTGTCCAAATTTGTGATTTCTTTGTTCACCCCATTTTACAATGTGTAATGTTGTTATTGAACTCTGTACTGGTTCAGGTCTAAGTTACTATAATGTCACGCTTGATACATAAGTGATAATATAGAAATGTTATCATTACAACATGAATTTTAAGATAATTTGTATAAAAATATTGACATAAATTTAATCTTGAAGGGAGAAAGTGAGAATTTTTAAATCAATACCTACTAAAAATAACGAGAGACAATCGAAAACTTTTCCAATAAAAGTGTTCCGTCCTCTACTCGAAGGCATTGATGAACCATGTTCTGTATGGAATAGAGTAGGCAAGACATTACATTATTCTCAAGCTAAATTGATAGGGAGGAAATAACATTTCTCAAACTTTGATACAATGAGAGTTGGGATACACTGATTTGATTACATCATTGCTAACTCGATCACCTTGTCATGTTATTCTGTAATAAAAGCTTCATTAATGGAGTCTGGATGAGACCACTCTTAGCAAGGAAAAAGTTTGCTTCACTTTTGATTCAAGCACTTCGGCTTTGCCATTGATCGTCAAAAGTCTAACATATCAACGGTGCAGGAAGAGGATGACAGGCGAAAGCACGAGCCTCGTGGTCATGCATTCAAAGAGTTCATAAATCAAGCAAATTTACATTTGGTGTACCTCGAAAAAAAATCACATATTGGCACACCAGTATGCGTAGTGCTCGTCTTTGCGATGATTACTAACAAGACCCCCGCACTGTAAACAGATGAAGCTGCGTCCATCGGAGAATGCATACAGGACGATCTGCATTCTGCCGGCTTCAGCAAGAATAGAAGTCCCATGTGCATCTGATGCAACCGATGGACCGTTCGGGTTGCATGGAAGATATTCGGCTTTTGAAGGCTGAGCTTCAGCTATAGCACACTCAGAAAACCAAGAAGCCAGCCGATCAACTGTGGTGTTTTCTCGTATTCTAGTTAAGTACACTTCACGAGCACGGTACAATGACTGAAATACGGCTTCATCACCACCCGTGGTTCTCAATGCCATCACAACCTATTCAATCACCGATAAGCAGAGGTTAAAAGGGGAAACAAGAAGGTCCAATATACATATCTAACTTAGAGTGAATTTCAATAACCTTTCTATTACCATTCCGATCAGAAGAGAATCGATTAAACCTCAAACTAATGCATAGCTTAAAAGATAGGCCAGCTATACAAACTTTGGCCTGTACTCAAAGAGGAAGAACCGATTCACCATAATATGACCAAATTACACATAAATGCATGTCAAATTTTGAAACGACTCAGCACTGAAAGTATAGTGTTATTCAATCAGATGTAGCTCTACAAAAGATTAAATGCAGAAAAATGTTAGTTTACTCAACCCAAGTTAAACTAGTAGTCTGCTTTTTTATTTGTATAATTGTTGCTTGCCTAAAAAGAGAAATATGAACAGAGAAGCGATATTTGATCCGCGAGGTCAACTCAGATGCCAGGTATTTACCAGCAATACTTGCGCCATCCAGGCAATCTTCAAAAGCCTACAGTGAGAAGTGGTGGCAATATATTTAATTAACAATATGAATTAATGTTGATGAAACACAGTAGGCTATTAAAGCTAATACATTTGAAAAAGATAATTCACAATTGTTAGTCAAAAGGAAGAGATACAAAAGTGACAAGAACCCATAAATCCAAGTGGTAATGACCCATTGAATTAGAATGAATAATGCAAGCTAAATTGTAGTGAAGTGGCATCCCCCCACCCCCCAATTCCATCATTCCATATGTAGCACAGTAAAAGAACAAGAAAAAGGGGAAATTTATTGATTTATTTCCACTGGAAAACCAAATGTCCGATACATGTTGCTCCAGTTGAGATGTAAGTGTCGAACAAGATATGTATCCAATACCATTATTTTCAAGTATTTGGAGGCTTATTGGAGGATTATATCCAGGGATGGAACAAAAGGGGGCTGACAGGGGCGGTCGCCCCACTGAAAATCTCAAATTCTCATATTTTCTTTGTATGCTTTTTCACCTTAAAATTTTATAAGTTTGCTCTTTAGAATTTTATAAGTTTGCACCCTAACATAAAATCCTGCATCTATCTATGATTATATTGGATACATGTCGGACATCGGTATTTCAAGATAAGTAATGGAGGCTTGGAGCATCATAGGTCAACATAGGTAAATATAATTAAGCAGTTGTGTGACCATCAAAATTCCATTTTTTTTCCAAACATGCAGTTCTGGTAAACATTCCTTTGAACCTCATCCTAACTACAGTAATCACCTTTACTCTCTTTCATACATGCATCTATAATTGTTTTGCGGAGCAAATACTAACGAAACTAGCTTAACAGTAACAACCCAAAACGATAATTAAAAAAGAAATGTCACTAACATTCTACAAGAAACTGCAAAAGATTGATGTTGATTACCGCTTGAAGAGTGTCGCGGCCGTCTTTCGGGTGAGTCCGGAATTGAGTTTCGACTTGAATAAAAACGTTAGAATCACAACCGATCATTTTTAAAAAAATATTTAGGCTGATTGAACACCATCTTACTTGATCTGCGTTTTACCAGAGATGTGTCGGGTTTGGGAGTCGGTTACAGTCAAGGAAGGATTAGCACCCTTATATTGTCCGTTCGGTACCAATTAATTTGTCGGTTGTCTTAATCGCAAAAGTTAAAAATTTAAAAATTCAATTCTAATTGCTCACCTTTGTCCGATTTAAATTACTACTGAAAAAGTCAAAAAGAATGTTAAATGGTAAAATAAAATATTAAATTATAAAAAAATAAAAGGTTAAATTACGAAATGTTAAAATAAAAAATTAATATATATAATAATAATAATAATAATAATAATAATCAATTTTAGACAAAATGATTATTTACATAAACAATGAAACTTTTACGGAACATATTCTACAAGAATAATTATAATGCTTTTTGAAAAGTAAAAGTAGCACCATGGCCATAGAGTAAAGGCAAAAGCTAGCACATGACCAGCAAATATATATATATATATATATATATATATATATATATATATATATATATAATGTTTAAAAGGTAATAATCAAAAGAAACAACCCAAAAGAAAAAAATATATAAAAACCATATATAAATAAATATTAATGTTAAATTGAATAAATAGAAGAAAAAATACATATATATAACAATAATAAAGACGGTAACAAAAAGAAGAAAAAAATAAAAACAGAAATATATATATATATTAGATTAAAGAAAATAAATAAAGGAAAAAAGAAATTAATTGAAACAAAAAAAGAAAATATATATATATATATATACAAAGGATTAAATTGAAAATATTAAAACATCAATGCTCGAAATAAAATAAAACAAAGTTTGTTTCAATGGCTAAAATGAAACATTACAAATGATAGAGGGGCCTAAATTGGTATTTACCTACATGCAAAAAAAATGCCCATTGGTCCTTGTCGAAACTACGTCGTTTCGTTGAGGATATATAAGAATAACTCATTCCTCATTCCTCACATCATACCTCATCGGGGAAGAGAGGTTGTGGCGGAGTTTGAAGTGGCAAGCTGCTCTGACGGCCGAAGAGAGAGCAAGTTATCCCGAATGACTTCTCTAAGCTTTCTCAACCCGAAAACCGACCCCCCCCCACCACCTAAATCTTACCCCAAGCCCGTAGATCTAGGAAAATAGATGGCCTTTTTTTTACTTTCGATAAGGTTATTTCTCTCTTCCGACAAGATATACAACCACCACCGACGATGAAAGGTAAGGTTTCTATATTTTTTTCTGTTTTTTTTTCCCGAATGATTTTTCTTGAATCCCCTTGCGTATTTCTTCCAAATCTCTTGGATTTTTCCTCCCTTTTCTCGTATGATTTACATGCATATTTATAGTGTTTTAAGGTCCTATATTTAATTCGATTTTGGACTCCTATTAGGACTCAAATGCTTGCTTTTCGGTTGTTGAGAGTCCCACGACACTGATTTGTTGTTTGACTTGGTTATTTTTGGTGTTCCATGAAATCACAATGTCGAGAAAACCAACCGTGAGGGTTCTTCAAGCAGGGAGGCGGATGCGGCGATGATGAAGAAGCTAAGGTTTTGGAAACCCTAACCTACCGGACCGATTCCAATCGGGTTATTGTTAGGCCGATTCGAGTAGTTTCAAGACCCGGGTCTGAAAGGGTTGGACCACTGTTGGGTTTGGGCCTGAAAAAAACACAAGATGTTGTAAAATAATAATATATATATATTTTGAATAGTGTAATATATATAATGTATTATATAATGTGTATGCTATAGGACGAAATTATGTGTCTACAAAGAGCCTGGGAAGGCTTGCCTTGATCCATAAGGCTACAAGCCATTATAAGCAGTTCTTTTTCGACATGGTCTTGTCTTTACTGCTGTGGCGCGGCGACGATAGCCTCCAACTCCATCATATCGGCGTCTATACGGTCCATGAGAGCTCAGCTGGGAAATTCGGCTTTGCTTTCTCTCTATTTTCGAAAAGAGGATTCTAGCAAATCAAATCAAGAGGTGAAACCCCTACTAAATTGATTCTTTCTTCCCCAACAGCGCTTTCTCATCATTGTGATTTTCAATAACCTCTGGGCTCAGTCGTAGGCCTGAATTGAGCCATCTAAATTTTAGAATTTCACAGCAAAGCCCATGCAATATGTAGAAGTAATTCATGAATCCAATAGATTTCAACACAAATTTATTGGAACCCAAAACACATTATCGTTTGATGTAACTTTCTAAAAAACACTTTTAACTAAGAACATATAGTAAAAGTAATGTTAAATGAGTGACAAAAAATTATGGTAAAAAGGTGGTTTCAAACCAACAGTAAAAATTATGATTTCTAATTTTTTTAATTTTCAACTGTGTGTTTATAAGCAAATTATAATTTTACTCTTACTAATCTATGGACTCTATTTAATTATGTATTAGCATTTTATTTTAATAATTTAATATTAATATTCTTAAAAAAATAAATTATATAATTTATTTTAATTAGTTAAAATTAAATAAAATTCATGGTTTATATATTAAAATATTAAGAGTGAGTTATTATAAAATATATTTTTATTATAATTATATTTTTTTATTTATATTTTTTATATTTTTATTATAGTTTAAATTGATATATTGTATATATAATAGTAATTTTCTAAACAGTTGAATTTTAAACTCATTTTATAACAATAATTTCAAATTTTAATATTCACATTTAAACATCATTTAAAAAAATCAATAACATTTTTAAAAGACGCTTTTCAAAAGTTGTACCAAATTAACCATTAAACTCTAAAAGATTTTATTTAAAAAAAAATCAACTCACAAACACAAAATAAATCAAATTCAAAATGATGTCAGGTAAAGTGATGTAAAACCATTTGAATTTAAACTGACATATTTAGCTAACTCGATAAGTATTAAAGAATTTTCTAATTTCAAAAGTATCAAATTAATCATCAAATTTCTAATTTCAACTCGGTATACGTTTGACATCTAGCACAAATTTGCCATCACAATCCACGATCATTTCTTTTGGAATAATCAACATGCAAACTTTTCACTTTTACTATCTTTTCAATTTGGTCCTCACTTGTAATTTCACCAATCAGTTCTAATTTAATCTAAGAAATTTAATCAAATTAAACACGCTTTTTGCATAATTAAAAATAAGTATATTAATCCTTAAAATGATTTTTTGACGATCAAACTCGAAAAAGAATCCAATTTAAAAATTCTTACCTGTAGGTAGAGAAGAAGCCTGGATATATATGGAGACACTGCATTCGTAGGGACCAAGAATACGAAACAACTTAAATAATGTCGGCAACTAAAGCAGAGAACAGCCATTGCATTTGTGATTAATAAAACCTAATTTATATTTTCGTATTACTCAAAAATAACGTTATAGTTTTATACATTCAATCAACATCATCATGAGACAATTAAGACATTCCCAATCCACCATCCTCCATTAATACAGCTTCTTTAATCTCCTGTAACATCTTCAGGACTTGCCACATTGTGGGCCTTTGTTCACTACAACTCAAACAAGCCAAGGCCACTTCAAGAAGCATCCCTTGTCGCTCTTCGTCCCCTCCATAGTCTTCCGTACTCGACCTAAGGCAATGCACCATCTCATTCGGTGACACAGGTGCTTCGATGGAGATTTGCCAGACAGAAGCTCTAATAACAGGACACCGAATGCATATAAATCTGATTTCGATGTTGCCTGATGAGGCGAACCACTAGTTTCCGGAGGCTTACACGCTAACGAATCGGGATCTCCATCGGTAACGATTGAGGGAGCGGCTAGAACTGCAAGACAGTAGTCGGTCAAACAGCCCTCGAAGTCGGGGCCGAGGAGGACGTTAGAGGACTTGAGATTGCCATGGACCAGCCTCCATGCTTGGTGGACGTAGGCGAGACCTTGTGCAACGTCCTCTGCTACTTTCAAGCACGGAGTCCAGTGTAGTGGCTCTGCCCTCGTTGATTTCGATCCTGCAAATGCAAATAGCATTAAAAAATGTGCTTTATTATTAAACTAAATCAACAATAATTAACTATTCATAGATATCATAATAAATTCGACGGTTCCCCATGGAATCCAGTAGTCAGCAGCAGAAGCTAGATTCTTCAAACTGACAGGGTATTATTATTAGAGAAAATCGTCTCAGTGACAAAAAATACCTTATAATATACGATTTTAACCAATTTTGTTTGGATTTGCCAAAATGACCAACAAAATCGCAATGCGAAATAAAAATCGCAACGCGATCTCCAGAATCGCAAATCAGTTCCCAAAATCGCAATGCGATAGTACAAATTCGCATTGCGATTTTCAAGAATCGCAACGCGAATATATAAATCGCAACGCGATTCTGACTATCGCAACGAGTATCCGTAAAATCGCAACGCGTATCTGTAAATCGCAATGACAATACGTAAAATCGCAATGCGTATCCGTAAATCGCAACGAGAATACGTAAATCACAACGCGTATCTGTAAATCGCAACGAGAATACGTAAATCGCAATGCGTATCCGTAAATCGCAATGCGTATCCGTAAATCGCAACGACAATACGTAAAATCGCAACGCGTATCCGTAAATCGCAACGCAATTTTTAAAGCGCCATTAGAATCGCTACGCGTATTTTATTTTCAAATTCCAAACACGAATATTAATTATCGGAACACTGAACCGTCCACAGTATATCCGGTAATCGCAACTCATAACCTAAAACCTAAAATCACAACTCAGTCTCATCTCCATCTCTCACTCTCTACGGCGAAATCCGTCCCCATCTCTGAAGATTTCCGTCCCCATCTCCGGCGAAATCCCTCACAACCATTCACAGTCAGAAATCCCTCACAATCATTCAGAAATGGAAAATCAACCTCCGATGGTTAGTT